TTAATAAATTGGTCATTTAAAAGTGTTATTAAATGTAACAATACTTCTCTTTGCAAATTGGTTTTGTAGGCTAAATCAAGTCTACTGAGAAATCCATTGGCCTTTGACAAAGTTTTCCAAAGTTTCTAACTTAAACACAAATTCTATTAGAACAATACCTTCCAACTTCTGTGGAACTCTGGCTATACGTAATTGATTTTGGAGGCATTCTGGAAGAGTAGCCCTCATAAGATTTTTTTTTTCAAAAACTTAGTTGTGTGCAGCCTTGGGAAGGTAACTACGACTTAGTTACAGTTAGTTTTGACTGTGTGTGTTTCTGATTTTGATTGACAGTGACATGAAAATATTCCGTTCATGGTGTGGGGATATGTGCACGTTCATGTGCATTCTCATGAATATAGATTCATAAGATAACCAAAAGAATATAAAGCTGTCCTGGGCCCAATTCCCATGTTTGTCATTTACTTGCATTGTAAAATGGATTCACCAAAGGGATTTCCCTTGTTGCCTTCTGCCAGCAAATGAGCCAAGTTCCCAAGATTGGAACCTGCTGCTCCCCCAGGGGTATTTCTTCAAGTTTTCTAGAGCACTTCCCCTTTTTGTGGCTACTAGAGCTATACAGGTGGACCAGGGTGGTTCAGATGGACTAGGGCCGTGGAGGTGGTTGGAGGCTACACAAGCAAAGATACACTGTGCTTGTTTAGTTGAGTTTACACACTGGTGTCATTGGTGTCCACACTGCCCCCCCACAGTGTTGCTGATGGTCTTTGATGTTTCCCTCCATGAACCTAGAGTCAAGAAAAGCACATCTACCAGGCAGGCGGTGGTGGCACACACCTTTAATCCCAGCACTTGAGAGGCAGAGGCAGGTGATCTCTGTGAGTTCGAGGTTAGCCTGGTCTACGGCGCATGTTCCAGGACAGGGTCCAAGCTTCAAAACTACACAGAGAAACCATGTCTCAAAAAAACACACAAAACAAACAACAACAACAAAAAGAAAACATAAACAGCACACCTAATGTGCATGCTGTTCTCTGAATAGATGCCTCAAAGCTGTTATTCCTTCAAATTAAAAATCCTCATACCATAACCTAATATAATATATAAGCCTTACCAGCTTGGCAAAAAGGGGGCTAGAGGAATCTGGATGCTCATCTTATGCATCCATCAATGTGGCATTTTGCAAAGCATAGTATTTAGAGAAAAATGAGACAAATTCTCTTAATAACATCCCAAGCATATGGTGAGGTTCTCAGACAAGTTATTTATGGCCTTGATTAACCTTGCAATATTATTGCCATTTTGAATAGATTCTGCATAACAACATAAAGATATTGTCTGTCCCTCTCAACATAGCAGGATTATCTTATCTCTTGTTCTTTTATTTAGCCTCCCCTGCTCTCCCTTACCTCAACATTTCCAGCAAATTGATCATAGGAAGTCAAAGCCTCTGTGTGGTGCTGATTTTATGATGCCTCTTTCCTGGCACTAGTGCATAGCAACATCGCCACCAAAAGGACAAGGTCTGCCATTGCTGTCTGCTATATCTTAACAGTTTCGAGTTTAGCAGAATAATAAAAACTTACTGTCTTTGATTTTAAATATATAATGACATGCAGTGAGAGTCAAATCAAGTGAATTTAATTTGTAATAATTAGACAGTCTCCTATACTCCAGAAAAAATGTATCTTGGGACTCCTTTTTTTTTTTTTTTTAACATGCCACATACTGAATGGATCCTGCCCTGTTGTTATTCAGAACATTGTATTGCACGTTCTGCGTGAATTCCCAAGGTACAATAAACAATACAAGCAAACCATGTTGAGATGGGCAACTGGAATCTCACTGGGTGGGCACAGATTCTGACTCCACTATTTCCTGGCAGGCATGATTCTGGGTTAATACTAGAATCTGAATGTCCTCTGCTAACAAATGGAGTTAATTATATATAGTTCACAAGCTTCCTGTGGGGCTCAAATGAGATAATCTCTCTCAAGAATTAGCATGGAGTAAATTGGAAGTAAATGTAAGACACTGCTGTTGCTGTTGCGGCTTTGTGTAGACACTGGTAAGTTGCTGCCACTGCCATTACTGGTACTATTGAGTTACTTGTGGGCATCAGTAATGGTCTTTTGCATCTACTTACAGTATTCTATAGATAAGGCTGAACTCTAAAATCAATCCTTAATTTTATTTTCTATCACAGGTTCTGTCACAGGATGTCACTGTCCTAAAAATAAATTTACTGATGCATACATAGAGAAATACGGTAGGGAAAGAAAATGTCTTCTTCACTACCCACATAGATCCATGGCTGAGGATCTATAACAGAAGACAGATTAGTTAAAGAAAAGCATACAAATTAATTGCATATAAGTTTTACATGACAAAAGAGCCCTCAAAAATAAATGAAGACCCAAAGAAATGATTAAACATGTAAGAAAAATAGCTAAATGCATATTGTCATGCTAGATTTGACAGAGTAGAAACTCATGGAGAAATATGATTTAATAAAGGATCTATTGGAGAACCTTTTGGTGAGTTTCTTCCCTGTGTTCCTGCATCTTCAGAAATGAGGGTTTTCCAGTCTCATGGTTGTTATGACTTGCTCCAGTTTTATGAGCTGCATGAGAGGCAAAGGTTGCTTCTTTGATTTCTCAAATGCAAGCTACCGAATGTGGAGTAGTGAGGCTTAAGCCCAGTGATATCCACTTGGTAACATTTGCCTTCAGACAGACAGCCACTGACTGCCCCCCCCCCACGCCTTCATGCCACCAGCTTTTACTCCTCTGAAAAGCTCCTGCCGAATGTTTTCAAACATTGGGAATTGTTATCGGCTGCACTCTTCCCCCTCATATCACTGAATCTATTTTACATTATCTGAAGATGAGCAAAGGAAGGAAGCAGAGGGTCTGCATCATTCACAGAGCTGCATCACAAACACAATAGGTTCTTTCCAAGGGAGGAAAGGCAGCATCTGGAGTAAGGGCTTGGAACAAGTGTTTGTGGAATTTAATGGCTATAAAATACAGTGGTGGGCATTTGCCTGAATATCAGAACTGTGATGTTTGGAAAGTTTTGAAATGCCTGCGAAAATAAATAAGCAAAAGTCTAGCCACTGGAGGCCTCAGTGCCGCTAAACTACTGAGTGAATACCAATGAGTTTATTATTGAGAATAATTTTCTATTCCAGTGTGAGTTGATCCAGAGAAGCAATCCGTTAGGCCTTTTGCTTACTAATTTCTCTTGCTATGAAGTAATAAAGCCTAAATCGTCAACTAAATTTCACTTGCAGATTGCTGGAAGTTTGATTTCTCTGGAGATCAAATACACCTTGTGACATGCTTTCCCCCGTCCTCCCAGCTGTTGATTCTTGCTACTGAAATGGTGTTGCGCCAATGTCATCCAGTTACCAAGTATCTGAGCACACTGAAATTCACAGTGTGTCACAGATAGCCGGCTAAGAGAAGTGATTATCACACAAGGTGTTTGATACAAATTAAATAGATACTTGCAAGAGAGCATTCAAAGGACTTTATGCTCATGAATTCCCTAAAATATTCATTTTTAGGATCCCTTAAAATAAGAACTGTATGGAGAATAAGAAAAGTAGTCTTTCTACGTACAGCCACACTGCTGGCCTTGGCTGTGGGTCAGTACTATGAAGCCACACTCACTGCGGCTAAGAAAAAAAGCCTTAACTCCAGCCTCTCTGGGAACAGAAGTAACATTCTGAATACAAGGCAGAAATGCATGCCAGTTTCCAACTTGTAATAAGATCAGAATGCCAAAATAAAGCGATTTTTCATCATTGTTAGCCACATAAGGAAAATATTTAGAATTATGTTCAAAATGGAGTACATATTAGCTGTTACAAACTTTTCCCCTTTTATAGGCCAAAGAGGAAAGACCAAGTTTCATTACTAGTATTTGTCCTTCTGGGGGGTTTCTTCTGCTTTGTTTTTGTTTGTATTTAGTTGTGTTTCAAATAATAATGACAGGTTTAATGTGGGGGAATTTAAGTGTTCGCATTTGTATTAGCGCCCCTTTCTCAGCTTATTTTCGTCAGTGCTTACAGTTGTATCCTACAGCTGGAGGATGACCCCCTAGGCCTAAGATACACATGAATGATTTCAGTTAATGGCATTAGAGGTGATGTGTAAATATCTTTTCTGTGTAATTAGTTATTGCTTGTGCTTTCAACAGAGCATTTGCTCCTCAGGAGGTCTTATTTCCTTTTGCTCTCTGGAAATTGCAACAGTATAAAATCTCCACAAGAAAACCCTAATGTGTGGCCTTTATTTACATCGTATATGCTATTGAACCTTATCACTGGCTATTAGGATAGTCTGTCTGCATTTTATCGTTTATTTCACCCTGTGGTATACTGGGTCTCTAAGAGCCTTTTTTTGCCTATGCTGTAAAGCAAAGCCAGTCCTTTCCAGTAAATGGAATGTAAAAATGAAAATTGTTGATATCAAGTGGGATCTCAGTCTGACAGCTAGGGAACCAGCATAAGACGGAGCCAGGCCCCCTGAACGTGGGTATCAGTTGGGGGGTCTGGGCAGTCTATGGGGCTGCTGGCAGTGGAACCAGTATCTATTTCTAGTGCACAAATGGGGATACTCTCTCAGCCTAGATACACGCAGAGGGCCTAGGTCCTGTCCCAAATGATGTGACAGACTTTGATGATCCCCCATGGAAGGACTCATCCTCCCTGAGGAGTGGATGGGGGTGGGATGGGGAGATGGTGGGAGGAGTGGGAAGACGGATGGGAGAAGGAACTGGGAATGGTATGTAAAGTAAGATTGTTTTAATTTAAGTAAAAATTAATTTAAAAAACAATAAGAAACTGTTGATATGAAGAGATCAAAGTGAGAATTAGTATAATGGTGTGCATGAAGGCCCCTGCACTGACTGTGTTGCTTCATGGGTGTTTTGCCCCTTACATGAAGATCACTGTGCTGCCTGCCATCTCACAGGTGTTTTGTCTCTTACAGCCTGTCACCCAGGGTCATCACTATCAAACAGAAATGAATCCACCTTCTCCATCGAACCCTCGGTAAGAGCCATTAATAACCTACATGGTTTTGATTTAAAATTTTTACTTAGAAGGCTGTATATTGTCCTTGGTTACATAAAATTTATCTGCCAAATTTTTATTGGTGGTAGTGGTTGTTGTTTTTTTGTTTGCTTGGAGGTTGTTTGGCTTGTTTTGATTTTGAGACAGTCTCAACATGAAATAACTGTCCTGAAACTTGCTGTGTAGATCAGGCTGTCCTTGAATTCACAGAGATGCACCTGCTGGTACCAGTGTCCAGCCAGACTTCATCTCTCTTGAAATTTTACTCCATCTGCTTTTCTTATCCAAACTGTGTGGTAGTGGCAATAAACCACCTGTGTTCAAATACATGGTTGCAGGGTTTTAAGCAAGGTCATTAAGGCACAAGAATTACTTCATGATATTTTTAAGGAGGTTCAAATGAACTAATTGATGAAAAAATAATTCTTAGCATAGTTATTAGCACATACCAAGCTCTTTATGAGTAGTAACTTGTGATTTTCATAAATATGCCATTTTATAGGAATTTGAGTCTAGTGCATATGGAGTACAAGCATTTTGTATGCCTTTAAATTTATCAAGATACCGTTTGAAAGTTCAAATAACAATTCACTTTTTTCACAAATTCATAATTTTCTAATCTCAAAATATTGCTACTTCAAAAATATTATTGTCACTGAGTAACTTTTTAACATAATTTTAGGCTGATTAGGAAAAAGCAAGTGTGAATTTGAGCACTAAAAACTCATACAATAGCCAGCCCATGCTTTCTCTTGCATATTTATGGAAGCTAGTTTATTCAGGTAAATCGTTACTTCATTACTGTTTGCTAAGGGATTCTTGGAAACCAGTCGATCTCCAGCTTCACTAACTGTCTTAGTTACAGGAATGCATCTCTAACCCATTTGTGAGTTGCCCTGTGGCATGTCAGTAAGCTGACATCAAGGAGAACACAGCTCTGGCTCCAGAGTGTGGTCTGTTACATCAGTTTGACTTCCCGCTGCAGTGACTTGGAGCAAAGACAACTTTGCTAGTGTTGAGAGAGCAGGGAAGGGATAGAGTGAAGCGGGAGGGATCTGTTCAATTAGAATACCGTGCTGCATACTAGAGGAGAAAGGCAGGCAGGGTTCCTTCTCCATTCCTGTTTGCAGCCTCCTTTCTGCTCCATTCTTCTCTCTAAACACTAGCTCTCTCTACTGCTCATTTCAGATATGGCTGCCTGATAGTTCTTGAGTTCCATCTACATATGGGGAGGTTAACAAACATGTCTGAATCTCAATTTCTACTTTCTACTTTCAATAAACTGAGAGTGGACCAAGTATCTATTTCTGGTTCAGTCCATAAGGAATAGTGAGCTAAAGCAGGAAGAGTACTAACAGGGCTCCTGGAGACAATCTACATGGCTTACAGGACTTTTATTAGAGCTGGGAATATTTGTGACATGAGTAAAAATTAGCACTCATCCTCGTGTTCCTACTCCATACTCTGATAGGAACTTTGAAGAAGTGTCATTCAAAATAGACAGAAGATAGATAGATAGATAGATAGATAGATAGATAGATAGATAGATAGATAGATAGATAGAGTCATTTGAACCTTGCCTGATAAGTTTCTTTTCTGTATGCAAAAAAATAAGCTGGAAATTCAACTTTAACCCTAATTATAAAAACTTGAGAATGTGTAGTTTGAGCAAGGGAGAAGGGAGTAGGATATTCTAGAAAGTAGAACACTGGCTTCAAAGGAAGTCATCACTCATGCAGTAACCTGGTAAATTGTCTCAGGAAAGTATTTCACCCTTGCTAGATTTCACAGCATAGTACAAGCCTCCTCATGTGTAAAAGAAAGAAATGGAATTATGTGCCTTCTGAGGTTAGGCCCAACCTTAGGACTCGGGGACTTTCCACAACACTTATTCCTACTGTGAAGGGTCAAATGACTTGTCTTTATTTCATTAAGCTGAAAAGAAGAGTCATAAACACTGGATGAGGGATTGACATTTTGTTGGGATAGTATGTGACTCTGACTATCCCTTCTTCCAAAAGTTAGAATAAAAAAAAAAAAATACTTCACCAATAGGAAACTATTTTTCTGCAACCAAGTGTTCATATACTTAGGAAAACTAGTTTACATTTCTTCATAGTGAAAATTAAAGAAAAAAAAACATAAAGAATAAAAGTTGATTTCAAACCCATTTGCTATCAGGTAATCCATTATTTCCTAGAAAACTATTATATAACTTCAAAAAAATAAAAACAGCTTATGTGGCTTGGCTCCTGATGCATATCAGCAGCCTGGAGAGTTGACTGAAAGGCATTGGCATTGTTGAGCCATAAACATAGAAGATGGTAAAATTTTGAGATCAGCATTATCGTCACATAAAGTGAGATTAATTGATTCATGTGATACATGTGATTTAATTTCAATTGAAGGCTAGCATTATGGTTTATATTTGCATTATAAGAAACATTATTATATTTCTTATGAACAGTACCCCATACATTAAAGATGTGAGAAGCCAAGTCTCTAAATGCAAACCTCTTAGATTTAAAAAAAAAAAAACACACACATCTAACCTGAATCCTAGATGGGACATTTTGCTTAAGGAAAGGCTGAGCTGTGCCTAAAAAGCAGGCATTAGTGTGATCATAATCATAGCAAGGGCATCGGAGCAGAGACAGGAAATGTGTGCATGTATGCCCCCTAAGAGCACAGCAGGATGTGACAAGTGGCCACATTAACTTCAGTGAAATGCTGCAGCCACTCCAGGCATCCGTGAACCTAGAACTTTTAAATTGTGTATGCTCATGTGCATATATACCCAGATTTAGAGTCAACTCTCAATTAGCTTCATTAACGTAACAGAGAAGTCAGCATCCTCAGGGTCTTTCATTTACATTTTGTTCTGGAAAGATTTTCATTTCTGAAACATAATTGCTCTCTTCATTTTGTGTGTGCAGGATTAATAATAAGGATAATATACAGCCCACAAAGCAAGCAAATTCAGGTGATAGAAAGTTGGCTCCAGGTTGGAAATAGCTAAAACACTGAATATATTCATAGCTTGTTTTCTTCACGGCGAAGTCATTCACTTACACTCTCAGGGCAGTGCTTGACATTGGATCGAGGTGAGATGCAATGGTAATCATTTTCCTGAGAAGATTGCAGTCTTGGAAGTGATATGTATGTGGTTCACCTCATCACATACCCTGGCATGTCTCCATTTGTGCAGAGCCATTTTCCCATGCATCCTTAGGCAGGGGGTGGCATTTCCCATTATTTTTTCCTAATGCACCAACTAATATGCAGACACCATCTCAGACGCTAGGGCCCTTTCCTCCCCATCCACTGATGCTACTTCATGGGGCACTGACAGCTTTTATAAGGTACAGAAATGGCTAACATTATCTAATACAATTTAGAAGAGTACGGGGCAGGAGGAAACAATTTCACAGTTCATTCATGTTGAGAAATGTTTCCTAGCATGTAAACTTGCATGCTGCCAAACAGAGCAAAATGGATCCTATTTGTAGCCTCAGGTCATTTATTTGAAAATGCCAGCTATGGGTTTGTGGGTTTAGAGCCGTCCCTTAGGCACAGCTATTTATATGTTTATGTAGATTCTTCAGAACAGTAGACGGTATTTTTGCTCAGTAGTGAATTCTATGAAATAATCTGTGATTATGTTCTGGTTATGTGTTCATATGGCTAGAGTTGACTGTCAGTCTTTTCTGTTGAATAGGGATGCTGCTTGCTATTTTACGACCTATTAGAAATTTAGGGAGAGGAAGGAATGGGGTCGAGGCTTCATAAGGTTTTAAATGTTTATGGAAATAATATCGAAAACAGTTCTAGAATCTCCAAGCAGCAGGAAACGGTACTGTTTTATAGTGTTTGCTTTGTGGGGGTGCTGGTGTTATTTAATGTCATTGCAGAGTAAGTTTGGATCTAATCCTTACTGCTCTGCCACACTTTTGTGTGATATAAACATACTTATAACTGCGACCATCTGATAAAGCCCTAAAGACTCTGACAAATGATTAATAACCAATGACCTTCATTCCTGCTGGCTCAGCCCACCCAGAGCAAGCAAGCTGGGCTGCCATCATACCCTACATGGGCCACTAGGCCTCCTCTGCTCTTTTCCCACTTTTCAGCACTGCCTGACAGGTCCCTCTTCTAGTGCTCAAGCCTCCTTTCCTGTGCCAGAAGAAAGAGGTAACACACAAATACGCCCATGGAGCTCACCCCTCTGGTTCCTCTTCACCTCGCTCTTAAAACAGGACAGAGTCTGTCCTTCCTAAGCAAGCATTCCATTGATCTCGCCACAGGGCTAGTGTCCTCCTGTCGCATGGGTTCTGTGTTGCCTCGACCTGTGTATACAGAGACATAGATTGTCTTTATCGTTTCTCTTGCTAGCTTTCTATGGGGAAAGATATCAGCACAGATTCACACTTGCTCGAGGCCCCGATTCTCCATATTTTGAGCTTCAAGCCCTTGTGTTGAAGGCCTGGGTCTAAGCCTGTGGTGCCCTGTGGGGCAATGGAAGCTTGGAAGGTTGAGCCTTGAGGGGAATGTTGAGATGCCCCTTTAACTCTCCCCCCACCCCCACACCACTCTGGTGTGTGTGTGTGTGTGTGTGTGTATGTGTGTGTGTGTGTGTGTGCGCGTGCGTGCGTGCGTGCGTGCGTGTATACATGCATCTCCTGGTTGTCATGAAGAGACTGCTGCATGTCCCCCACTGTGGTACACAGGTCCAGATCAACAACAGCCACTAACCAAGAACTGAAACCTCTGCCTCTGGAAACCAAATAATCTTTCCTCTTTTGAAGTGGCTCAGCTTGGGTGTTTGTTACAGTGATGGACAGCTGAAGAACACACTTTCTCTTTCTCTTTCTCTCTCTTGCCTATATTGTTCTCTGGGTGAGGACAGGAGCTCTATCAGCCTTTGAGTTGATAGAATGAGGGAAAGAGGAGGGGGAGGGAAAAGCATTGTGTGGAGA